GCAGTCTAACAACACAGGCTGGCACATGAATGGACCACCGCAGATTGCTCTCTATGGCAACCCCTAGTTATTGGTGGTATGCTTCCTGGTGATTGGTACGGAATCGCTGATTGAGACTTGAGACTGATACTTGAATCGGAAAAGAATAAAATCTCATTTTATTCATATAAAAGCATTCAACCTGAGAAACCGATGAAAAAGTAGTTCTTTATTTATTTTTTATACTGGAAAGTGAGTATTGAGAACGCTGTTTGGAAACTATTATCTGGTGCACAGATTTGGCAGACGACCATTCCAGACAATGTTTGAAGGGAAATACTATTCTGCCTCAGTTTTGCAAATGTTCAGCAAACTAGTTTTGCGCTCGCAGGACTCGTTGAAATTATGAGAATAAACCTTGAATTGCTTAATTTGATCTCGTGTTTCGTCAGTGCAAACATCTCTCAAAAGGTGTCTGTAAGAAAATTTTTAATCGGTTACTGTTGATGCTACATCTAGGATGAAGTGACCTTCAAATGAAAATAGTTTGTGACATCACCAGAAGTTAGTAACGTAACCCTCATTTATCTTTTACATATGGAAAGTGTATCTTTCACGCCACGAGAATTCCCCATATATGGGCTGGTGGGTACAAACAGTTCTAACAACTCTTTCAAAACTGAGGCCAGATTATTTTCCAGGATCATTACTGTTATTTTTTAAATATAATCACATTCAACAAGCGCGGTTAAGCCCGTTCATTTTGCGCAGGCATCAAGCACGGTGTACAATCCTACTATGTTTCGGTTGTGAATTTCATTCCTGTGAGGTGAGGTAACTTCGCCCACAGGACACATGTATTTGCGATGGACATGTCGCGCAATTGTTGACAAAAACAATAGACAGCTGTTGCTTCATTGAGAAAACGGCTGTCTGTGAACATGTTCAGTTGGGTTTCACAAGCATTGGGATAAAACAGCTGTGCAGCTACCTTTTTCTGATCATCGCACAATCCATGAGAACTAAGGATTTTGTATTAGTTCTTCCAAGAAAAGGTTTAGTTTTTCCGACGGACAGCGTGAATGGTTGAGTAAAAGCAAAAATACGCTCGGTTGAGTGAGCATGAGAACACAATATTAGTAAACAAGCTCGTTCTCGATGCTACTGGATAATTGTAGCACAGTTTATAATGTATTTGACAGTCAGTGAGCAAAGGCGTACCTGAGGAGGAAATCAAAGTTCAGGAAGCCATGATCATATTGCGACAATTGACATGCTTTGTGTGTGTGGAAGGCCGATGGGAGTGGGTTGATCCAAAAGGGTGAGCGCGTGAATGAATGAATGAATGAAATTTCACGATCGGAGGTTGGGTCGCCAGATTCTTGCAAATTGTCTCTAGGCCCATCAGGAGGAAGTGACGGTTGGCAATCGGGTATTGACCTCTTAGGATTACGTTCCTTTGACCGTATAGAAAAGACGGCAAGTTTCAAGAACATCGACTGTGGTTAGATACCTTTTAATGGTTCGTATTCTTTATTCCCATCCTTGTCGATTCCATATTCAATCAGTAAAAGTGATGGTGCTTGATGCCGACATCAAGACATCTCACCGTTCAACCTAAATAACTTCCTCAACACAAGCCGATGGACTGATAAAAACAGAGCGCAAGGTCGCATTAGAGGCAATCTGTCTTTGATCTGCATTAAGTGAAAAGATTTGGAGGTGAATATAATGCAGCGGTCACCTGCAAATTATATCAATTCGATACATGACTGAATTCGGTTCATCAATATTTTTGCGGCCGTTTCTCCCATGGGTGGGCTGCTTTGTCGCCGAACGCCTCGGGTTGGTAGAACATCATACTTTTGCGGATGGATGACTCAGGATGTTCGCCCTCTAGAAAAACAATTTGCATTCTTCCCAGTTCAATTTCGGCAGTCTAAAACACAAAGCTGCTGAACAAAATTGGCCTCCGAAAGCCACAGTATGGTCAGGGTGGCTGTCCATGCTTGGAGCTCGTCACCATCCCTCTACAACTCACGAAATGCTACTGTATGAACAAGCGTCTCAAATAGCCTCGGTTGAGGAAGCCCTGCCTACCACCTTCCTCGGTGGAGGATTTGGGGGAAACAAATAAAAACCATGTTCGTCAAGCAGAGAATCAGATTTTTCTTCTGCTGCAATAGGACGAAACTTTGGCAAGATGTGTACACTGTCCTGTTTGTGCCTTCTATGAATTCTTTTACGAATGGAGCCATCTGACTGTGAAGAAAACAATATAATCAGAAATGCAAGATTTTACTCGGATTTCTTTTATAATATTAACTCGTTTGGAGAATGAATTCCATTGATAGTTTCCAAGGGAGAATCAACATACTTTCTCAACATCGTATACACATACAATGATATACACAGACCATTTGTAAAAAGTGAATTCCTCTACGGATAATTAAAGTGCTCCATTTTAAAATTTGACATGACATTTTCTGTTCACAATGATCCCAGAAGCGAATTCATGGGTATTCCATCTTCTGAGTCTCGTTCTGAGATGATGGTATCTTATTTGATGATTCCCCGTATAACTTTTCTTAACCGGGTTTCCAGATGCACTTGCCGTTATGATTTGCAAACATTCAAGCCCGGGGACAACCGTTCCAATTTTCACTTATCCAAACTTGCAAACGAAATCTTTTGAGCATACCAATCCGGATTGCTTGGAAATAATTTGTGAAGTTCTGCGTCAGACAATTGTTGGTGTAATTTCGCCTCATTCTTAGACAACCCCCTTAATATCATTTGGTCTTGATGTATTAAAAAAATAAATAACCTCTGTTCCACGTTTCATTCGCTGTTTATACGAAAACATTCACGATATGATTACAACGTATTTTTAAGCTGATTCCGCGAAAACTGTCTTGAATCAAGGATTGGAAAATGAAAAGAAAGTATGTTAAGTAGAAAAGGGGATACAAGTTACAAATTTTGTTCATGGCCAGTATCAAAAACGTGTCCCTGTAAGAATTGAAATATTTGGTGACATTGACTTCTTATGCAATTTGCTTTATCACAACACTATGACTCGCAACGGCAGGTGCTCTGAAAGCCGTGTTGACGTTTCATGCCGTAAGAATGACAGAGTTCTTGATTAGAATTCCACAATATTTCATCCATTTGTTTGTGTACCTGTGATGGAACAATGTCCATAATTCCTTTGGTTCATTGTTATCACAAAATCAATCGATGGCATCAGAGGCAGGGTAATTTAGTGTTTGTCTTGGGATATCGTATAAGAACCTTTAATGAATCTTAGGTAACTAATTTTTATTTGCTCAGCCTCATGAATGTTAGGCAGGTAATAATAACTACTTTAAAGCACTTGCGACTAAAGTAGACCATCATAGTTGTTTTTCCGGTAATAAGAAGCAAAAACAGGACTTTTGAAAACAGTATTGGTTATAGCCACAGAAAAAGCGGCATGTATTGGATTACTATATATATGTATATATACTATAAGAATTGTCGCCAGATGAGCGCGATTTGAACAATAAAAACAAATTCGGATTATATTTTCCATACCATAGGTTCTATTCAATAATTCTGGATCACTCTTTTGCCATATCCAACCATTTTAAACGGTGACCGGCTATGCAGCTGTCTTGAGTCTATTTTAACTTCGTTGGATGTATGGTTTTCAAGTCTTCTTACTGAATTCAATTCCACCTAAAGCACTTGCTAACTATAATACATTGAATGCTATCATCTGGACTTAGTCCAATCTTCTAGTTCTACTACTACAAACGAAGCAGACATAAAGTAAAATAAATAGGACAGAGGGCATTTTGTGTCTTAATTTAGAGTTAGTAATCCGTTACGTCTAGTTAAATGTCCATTCACTTTTAAACCATCTTTGCATTTTGCAAGAACATCTGACTTTATATAACAATGTTTAGAACAATTGAAGGGTCAAATAGAGCAAGTCAAAGCGGTTTCCATATCGCTCAAGGGAGAACGCTTCATTTACCCGATAGGAACAACATTTTCTGTGGGGGGTTTCATACAATGTCAAAGAATCTGGTACCACAACATTTGAATTCAACTTTGTCCACATGGTCTACACGGTAATTTTTCTCTCAAGAATTTAGCGATATTAAACATTGTTTATTTTATTAGTAGTTCATTTTCGATTTGACCGAAGCTGGCGTATTTTAAACCCACCAAGTGTGATCGCTTATTTATTTTATTATACCTTAAGGTTTTGTACCAAACTTGAGAAAAAATGCACCAACCAACCGGTTGATTTCTCTATATCTAACGTTAGCAGGATTCCAATGTGTCAATCGTTCATAAAACTGAATTATTCTCTTCCATTGCAGATAGGTTTGTGGATGGACTTATTTTTCTTGATAGACCATAGTCAGTTCCACATTATTCAATATTCTTGTTTAAAATAATCCCATTAATTCAGGTTTTACAGTGAAATTTTACCACCGCAATTCGTTATCTGCTGTTTATGGGTACTATCTGTCTGTGCCAGCAGCGGGCAGCGGCAGCTTAAACTCCACTGAGGAAAATGCTTGTATGCCTCCATATGTCCAGGCTCACAACTAGGCCAATAGAATGGATGGGATATACCTAAAAATTTGATTATTTTCCCAGTACGTTAACGGAGCAGTATAACGAGTGTTGTAAAAGATAATCGTCACCGAGTTTTTATTCATTTTGCTGCTACTTTTGCTTCTTCTTTGCTAAATATAAACCGGCTATACACTTGAATCTCATGGACCTTAATTAATCTACTTTCAGGCTGATTTTCAGAAAGCGAATCCCGATCATCCACGTTCACAACGAAAACAGCTAGTGATTGTTATTTTTAAGAATCTCCATTCAAATTGTCTCCTCCCCATACCGGAAACGTACAATACATGTTAGGAATCCAATTATAACGAACAACCTCATGTATTTTGTTACCAGTGTATGTTGCAACGCATTTATCATTTCATATGGGTTCTTTATACAATTAGCAACCAGCTCGGAATCGATTTCGGCCAAACAGCTTGCATTTGAACACGAGACCTTAGCACAAACGTCTCCGCATATACCGGTTCTCGTGACCGCTGAACAGGGACCACTCAATGGACACACGGTGACAGCCACGCCACCGGCCACCGGCTCCGGTTTTCATTCACCCCATGGTAAAGCGACAAGCCCTCCGCAAACGCTCGGTTCTCTTGCTCCGGACTACTGCCCGTTGTTTGCATTACCCAACTACAGTGCACTGATAGATCATCCGACATCGGCTACAAAAGCCAGTTTGCAAATGGTAAAGTCTCGACTAAAAGCTACACAAACCGATGTGTCTCATCTGAAATCCGAACTTTCCGGGTTGCGGAGAGCGCATACAACTTGCATGGCTCAGCACAAGGAAAATACCGAGAATGTCATCGAACGAATTAAAGTGAGTTCCACATTGAAAGACAACAATCGCCAAATTGTTGTGGACCGTTTGTTTGATTCAACCCATTAGGTTTGATCGTGAAATGAGTTTATTTTCCTGACGTATCATTCTCATTCTATAATTAGTGAAGAAAAATGTGGTAATCACATCCCCCGAACCGCGTAAGTTACAACTCCCATAAGTCTAGGACGGCTGCAAAGCTATCGATGCTACCGTGGAACAAATATGTTGAAAACCCATGATTGGTTTGGAATTTAAAAATACCCACTGTCCTTATACTCTATTGATGAGTATCAACAGTCAGGTTTGAACAGATGGTTCGTCCTGTTGTTCACCTTGAATGTTTCCTTTTACATGCAAAAGACAAGCTTGCCAAAATAGGGGATCAAAGGTACCTAACAACTGTTTAGATAACTGCGCAATTTGTAATACAATCATGTGGTCATACGTTATGCATACTGTGCAAATACATAGATAAACAAAAATATTGATTTAAGACGTACGTCACTTTCTTCAAGGGCACAGTGCAAAGCACTTTCAACATTAAATCATGTTGATTTTAATTTTCATGACAAACGGGAAGGCTATTGGTTTATAACATTTATTACTTTCAGCTGCAAATTGTTTCGTTGATTGGAGGTCTTTATTGCATGGTATATGTTATGGTATATATTAATGGGAAATCCAAAAGATGTCTATCGTTTCATATATGTGATGTGGTCTACAACTGAGTGATACGTTTGTCAAACATGCCTATGGCCAGATTGGTTGATTCATCGATTGATTGATTTATTGGCTGACTGCTTGAATGCCGGATTGACGGTGTTCTAATGTAGTGTGACGTTTGAGCCTGAGTTGGCCTGGCTACCTGCCTGTCTTCCTATGTGTTACCGCTTCTGCTTGCTCTCCGGTCTATGAACCGGCAATAATTTACAATTTACAATAAAGTTGTTGTTCAATTTACTGTGTGCTCATCTCCCTATATAAAGTGGGACACAATAGGAGATTACTAAAGAACTCAATTAAAAATTGTGACCAATTAACAATGTTCTTCAGGTTATGTTGAATTAGGAACTGAGCAGTGGTGCACAATTCAACATAATTTGATGCATGCTTCCATGCTCATGAGAAATTCACGTTCACTCTCGAATTACTTTTGCTTGTCATCTTCATCAGATAGGTAAACATGTCTTATAAAAAATATTGTTCAGTTAGAAAACCGTTGAACGTCCGGTTGACTTAAAACAACTTCCCAAGTGTTCTGATTTTGAAAAATCCTGAGTTTCGGTGCTTAACTTGTGGTGGTCGCTTGCAACATCTTGCTGCCCACGCTCCACCAGCCAAATCACAATACCATACCTAGAATGCTGACGTTTCACATGCATGGACTCCATTCTCTAAATTGTGGCACAACTGACTTTTTATGAAATTAATCAGTTATTGTTGTTTTTCCTTTCATTTTGTCGATCGTGATGTTCTTATCGATATTGTCGTCATTGTTGTTGTTGTTGTTGTGATCATCCAAATCAACAAGAGAACAACATATCTGAATATCAACCGATGCTCCACAACTAATGGCGTTCGTGTCTTTTCCGTCCTGACCACACTGCACATTCGACATTTTTACGGTCTGGGGAGCACGACTTGATGAGTTGACGAGGAAGCATTCTGTCAGACAATCTGTAATTGTTTATCCACACTGGCGATCTTGTTTGTTTCTTCCACTGTTCTCGCCCACACACAATTATTGAACAATAGCAAACTTTAACGCCCCCTATATAGGCAACGTCACTGTCTACCTAGCTCACCGGTTGATGAGATTAGTTTCGATCCGCAAGCATGTAGCGGATTGTAACCTCGCGCAGTGGGGACATTGTTTTCATGTCTGTTCTTACTGATCAACTGAACGTGACGGACGGACTTTCTGAAGAAGACAACAAATATTTTTCAATTCCTCCGGTGAAATGATTTTGCTGTACATAGTGCTTTTACACCCACTTCCGACCGTTTTACTTTTTTCTTAGTGTTAGATACAAGAAATTGAATGCTTTTAATCATGTTTCTAAGTAGAATCTGCCAGGGATTCTGAGTTTAAACTGTTAAACGTCCCAGCGGTGGAACCGAAAGCGGTGTGTTCAATATCCTAATTGTAGAGGTTAACTATTTGCTGCGGTATATTGTGATAGGCTGAGATGTTTTTCAGAATGTGACATTTTATTCCAGGTGCTTTTGTGCCGAAAAGCACTATTTACCGCTGATATATCCTACATGTTTCTGCATGAAATGCAAATGCTAAAATGACCATCGAACCACGTATTTTTAAATTCAGGGCTGAAATTATTGCGTTTTTGGACAATATTCTATCTGATATTATTGGGTTCAGCCAAAAGAAACAAGCAATGTTCAAGTCAGAGAGTTTACTGGTTCTATGATGATGATCATTCTGGTGTGAATAGTGTGATTGCTGCTGTCCCAGAGAATAATCCAAAGAGTCATCCTTAAATAAGGAACTCTGTGCATTGTCTTGCTTGACGCCCTGGATCATTATAGCAGTAAAGTTTATTGAAATTTTGAATTCAACAAAAAATTATATACCTCGCGTTGACAAAGTAATAAAAAGCGGTTCTCTTAGCTCGGGTGAACTGAATTCCATTTCGCCTGTTCGCCCCAAGGTTGGTAACTTGTTTACAGTCGTTTCATCACCAACCGACGTGACATCGTTAGTGCCTGTGAAGTGGCACCAAAGATGTCACCTCGGCTGGTGAGGAAACGTTTGCAAACAGATTACCAAGATTGGCGAGCAGGCGAAATGGAATTTATTTCAAGTATATTGAAGAAACCTGTTGTGAGTTTAAGATTACATAAAAATGTACCAAATGGGATACCTTGACGAAATCCGAGAATGAAATGTCTCAGTCCAGGTCATCTTGTCTTTTGGACACCATGATTTGTTTTTGGGCCCACAATAGACTTTTGGCCCTGGAGTCAGAGTTGCATTTGGAACGTCTTCACAGACGTGACTGTTGGAATTTTGTTAGTATTGCTTGCCGTTGTTCGTTCTCAAAATCACATCACAATCAACTCATTTTCACGTAGGACAGCTTTTCCTTCTGTACCTCATTTTCATTCACACACACGCACCATATATGTTGTTGGGCGGAGGTGGTAAATTCTCCAAATTATTATAACATTGGAGGAAGAGTGCACGATGCCCTTCACCTGGCATTCCTCATTAGGTGTTGTAAGGCTAACCCTTTGGTTCACTGATTTCCCATTCTTGAAATGTGTATCATAATGGATTTTATAAAAGGAAGTAGAATAAAGATGAAAATAAAGATATTGCTGATCACACATGTGGAACAAAATTAACCCAAGCTTCGTTATCCTATAACTGTTTCTGGAACGACATCGTTTCATGTAAGAAATACACCAGCGTATAACTGTCACCAGCGAGAAACATATCCATCCCCTTGTGAGGAAACTCCAACCTGTCCAAGGCTGGCAGACCAAATCATTCTGCACTTCGAAACATGGAATAAAAGTAATAAATCACATGATGACAAAATACATACATTCAACAAATTTCAGTCGATTTTTAACTTCTCATCCAAATGTGCATTCATTTATATTTCTAAAGATTAAACGTTCGATTACCTGGTGTTACAAAGAAAATCTGGCACCATTCAGCCGTCAGCCTGGTCAAGGTCACTTACGGTGACATGGTGATTTGTGCCAGAACAAACAAACTAGTGTAGTAAAACAACCAAAAATCTGTTTGTCTCATGAATAATATTTGACACCATTTGGATCTCACGAGTTCTTCTGCAAATCCAAACAAATAGGACCAGCTGGATGTTCCCTCACTCCTACTCTGCTGGTCACTGAGGAACGGTACTTTAAGCGTTCCAGACCGATGTTGTTTTCTTGGATTCCATTCATTTGATCTATCCCATAAGAAAATCACATGCCCCTCAATCTGAATATGCACAGACCATCAGGTGTATACGTTTATGCCCACTTTAAGTCTACCACAGAGAGACGAAAATTTTGAGGATATTGTTTTTTCTTCCATGACCGGTTGGTTCCACAAAAGCTAGTCAAGACCTTTGAAATCCCGATTGCCTGATATCCTTTCAGAAACCTGGCTGTGATTTTCCTAACTAAATGAAAAATTCGGAATATCGAAAGCACATTTTAAGTACATTTATTTAGCGAGGATAAAAGAGAGTCTCACATTCTGTGTTCTGACCTTTGGGAATATTTCCTTGTGAAGCATTTTCTATGCTATTTCATGTGTCGAGTTGTATAGATCGGACGATATGATGAAACAGTTTACACATTAAAAACGTTTGAAAAAACCGATTCGCAGTAAACCACAATAAAAAGATCATCTTTAGCTCACGAATCTTTCTTCTTCCCCTGCGAAAAATTCCCCGAAAGCAGTCTACATCATCACCCGGCGAGTAAGTATGGGCCACACCACATTGAATTCTTTTGCAGCCGGAAAGACACCACGCTATTAAACAGATACATGTCTTTAACATCACCTTGGGAATATGGCTTAAGGATATAAAGCATGCAATTGTTGATAACATTAGGTTTGCCAAATAGATCATCTCTCAGGCAGGGCTCGCTTTATCATAGGCAACAGTTGAATGAATAAAATGGCCGACAACTGTGCCTTACCACGGAAACGCGAGAAGCTACCGGATTCGAAACACGGGTAGCAATACCGTCAATATACACTTTTAGATGCCTTAGCGTTCTTACTGTAATTATTTACAGCAATCTGCAAGTGAAGAATATGTCAGTTGGTACGGGGTGTTTCCTTGGCTTCCTTCTGAGCAATCATGAAAATGATGTGTTCAATGATAAAGACATATTAGAGCCAATAATTGAACCCGCCAGAATGAGAATATAATCTGGCCGAGGATTCACTCTGTATAATGTAAACTTAAATGTTACATGATCTAGCAAAACCCAACTGCTAATTACGGATAATTAGGGAAGCGTTTCCGAGATCAAAGATGTTCAACTCCTATTATCTTCCGTCAACCAAGGCTGCCTGTGAAATTACACACCTTCAACAAATAAACATTCCAAAACTATTCCGTTAGGGTGCTTGATGTTTTCGGCAGTCTTGTCGCGAGTGATTTATTCAGAAAAAACCTTTGAGCAGAGAAATGCGCACTTTGTTAAGACTAATCTGTAGTTTAGTTTCAACGGTGTGTGGATTTTAAGCACATCGCATTTACCCCTGCTTTCAATCATTTGTGGGATGACACTCTCGTGCACCGTACGTAACGAGGTGTTTTCTGAACCGCATTGTTACATTTGAATAAAAGTACCGATTAAACGTTAGTATATATATATATATATGTCGCACCTGCAGAATGCATTACTCTTACAGTATTATTTGTATTTTCATATATACTGTATGTTTGACATGCCCAGACACCGTGCACATGAATAACTCACTCGATTTCCGTCCAATCCTAGCAAATGATCGCCAGAGTAGACGGTCTGGATCTAAGCCTAATTCAACAGGCTCGCCTGGCCATGAACCGGCAGCTGGAACTGTATGAGCAGGAAGTGCAGCGGGCCAACGCATGGCTCAAAGACTTGGACACAACGATTGAGGATCTTCGAATGGTCGCTTTGACCAGACGCTGTCGGATCAGTGTCTCGGAAGTGGAAATGCTTGCGTTGCATGTGAATCGAGTCAGCTTCCGATTACGTAATTTTAAAAGTGAGTTTTGCTTTTGAGTATTGAAATAATGAAATTGCAAAGCACGATTTTTTAGTTATTTCATTACACTATACTGTGCATATATATGTTGGCTTTATACCCCCTAGTTTTTTAATCACCAAAAAGAACAAACAGAGTTTAAAGAGCACAAGGAGATATTGTGCATAACGTTATTACATAACAATACGTCAACGCCTTCATTGATTCGGGGTATAAATTTAAATTTCAAAAAAATCAATAACCCATAAAGCGTGACTGAGTAGCTTGTCAACATAGTGGAATTGCACGGTGTCTCATTGACTCTGTATTTCAATTTGCAAGACCTGTTGTAGTTAGTCATTTTACTCTGGTGGCACCAATCATGGGCACTCAAATCTAGGGAGTTTTACAAAACAGTTTAAGTAATTAATGTTCAAAATATAGATCACTTGGGAAACAGTAACAAAGCTATTTGCCAGATATACACCAATGATTCGTGTTAACCAAGGTCCCACCCTTTCTTGTCGTGCAATCATTTTAACTGAGCGGTGCATGCAATCCGTCGGATTCAACCCTGTGCCAATAACAGAAGCATTCATGGTCTTGGTATCATTACATCGAGGGTGATTCATGGATAATCAACGTTTTGTTTCTCATATAACTTGCCCCTGTAGGCTTTGCGGACGACATAAGGCGGTAAACACCAAGACTGACTTCCGCTGCCACCCCATAGTGATGCCCCATGACTGGTCTTCAGATATTTGTAACTCACCTGTTGGGAAGGATTACTTGTTCCATAATATGTTAGCAGACAAAGCACTCAAGGAAACCACAAAGAGCACTATATTTTTTTAACACTTCAATGAGGATTTTAACACTCCCTAGGCCCCAAGCATTGGTTGAAAGAACGATTTACCCACCCTCAGTGGAGAACTACATATCTGCATATTGAAGGCACCCCTGTTTCTGTAATTTGACTCTGTCTTTCTGAGGTGCAGGTAACTAAGATTTACCGTTAAATAAAACGGTTTAAGTTATCATATTTCGCTCGCATTTTAGTATCGTCATTATTATTTCCAAGATGTCTGTGAATAAATGCAAAATTGTTTGAAATAAGCATGATGTTATAAAACTTCCTTCCTGGTAATTAACGTTTTTTTGGTTTGGTCCGTTTTCCTCGAGTAATTTTAAAATTAACCATCAAAATCGTCCTAACGAATCAGCTGATAAAAAACGGGCAGTGAACTATTGTATAACGCAAAGAAAAAGAATAATGGAATAGCTCTCCTTCTTTTTCACACAATCGGGAATGACAATTTATCTAAGCTAAACAGTCCAAACTGGTAGATTGAAACCTAGAGACCATATTTTTGTTGCACATTGACTTCTTGGATAAGCTATCATGTTGGCTAGTATAATAGATAGATCAGGAAAACAAGATCAACTTTAGTTTCCTCGAGCGATGTGCGAGTATCTTCATTCATCTTCTGGTGACAATTGTTTGGATTTCGTATTATTATTTCCTGAAAACAACTATTAGGACTGGGAGGATTAAATAGGTATCAAATAGATTTAACTTTACTTTTGAATTTTTTGTTCATGGTACCTCAGTTACGCTTAAATCTGTGGAGAAGACACGGTAGTTTCCGCGTATTAAATAATTAGGTTGGTGGTTTAAAAACAGATGTAGTAGATCAGCTGTATATAATCCGACAAGATGACGCTTTGTTTCTAGATATCTCACCACAGACCACGCATTCGGGGTGGAAGAATCAGTGCCTAGTAACATCAAAACGTCCTGGTGATTTGCTTACTGTCGATTCACATATCAACCACGAATTAAGGTTTAACAATCTAATTTTTTACACGTCCCAAGCCAGACTATGTGCCAAAAAAATCATGGTACAATAATCTTTATGCAAAAGAAAGACATTTCATGATTGGCATGTGGGCTGAATACTGCCAGGTTGTCCAGGCCGAGGTAGGTGAATTTTCTTGAGGAATCCACAACCGGAGCCTTTGGTGAGATAAAGCCAAACTCAAAATGCAGCAAGGCAGTTTGCGAAAACCGCAGTCCATTAGGGGCTGGTGTCCAGTTCATTGAATCATACGCCCTTAGGACGGGGTCAAGCGTTCAAGACGCTCAATATAACTCGATGCCCAGTCGAGCTGGTAACCACTGCTAAAACCGGGAGGCTGTGTATGTGATTCCTACGCCTTCTTATGGTTGGTTTGGAATCAGGGTTTTTGGCCATCTCTCCTAGACGATATACCAGTGATCCACAAACCTGATTAGAGCCCTGGATGTCAGCTTTTCGTTTTATCAATTTGGTGGGAAAACACCTTGGTCACGAGAGGGCAGTGAGTAGGGCTTCCTTAACAGAGGCTACTAGAGACGCTTGGTCGTATGGGAGCATTTCGCGAGGTGCAAGGGAAGGGTGACCAGCCACAACCCTATACACCCGATCATACTGAGGCTTTTGGAGGCAAGGTTTAACAGAAATTCGACCCATCTGTAGAAGAATATATTAGTAAGAAGAGACTGAAACGTGCTTCACCAGCCTGGAACTGTCTGCTAAACAACTGTGGAAAGAAATTTCGAAATTAATTGTTCCATTGAGTGAATCACGATTGTCCCTTTCAGGACTACTTGTGTTTTTCTTTCCGCACAAGGATATGCTCTGCGGCTTTGCTGTTTCAAAGAAACCTTCAAATATACAGATTCCCAGGGTGTCTGTGACGACAAGCTGTCCTGTGTTTTTTGGATTCTTGGAATACACCGCGCTCAATCGGCAACGCTGTATGGTCACGCCCAAGACACTCATCTAGTTGTTTGAAATAAGAGGATATTGAACACATATATTATTATTCTAAAACTAAATGAATATTTATTTTCTTTGTCTGGCTATCTGCATAGGGCGCATGGTGTCTAAATCACCGTTATCGATCACTTAGGATCACTGTGCAGTTTCAGCAGGGGTGCACAGTGAATCATTTGCCCTAGTCATAATTTAGGTATGCTTAATTACTAAACCTATCCTACAGCTTTTTATTGCACCTAAACCCAAGTGAACCTGTTGGGAAAACATCCTTTTCCTTTTATCCATTTCATCTGCATAATATGTGAGCAGAATGTGTATTATCCATCAAGTTCGAGTGCAGCCATTCAGCTGTAAACGAACATAGAAATTGAAATAAGTCATTTGAACAACAGGGTGATGGGCAAACGGAGTTGCGCGATTTGTGTTTAGTCAGGGGTTGAGATCATGATAAATGAAAAAATTTGATATGAATGTGAATTGGTCCAAACAATGTGGTCAATGTTTCTTCGTTTGACATGATCACATAAACGTGCGTTTGCAGCGGAATGAGAGCACGCTAAATCGATGACCAACATCAATTCTACCCACATGTTTTCTTGTGTTGATGGAACCTGTGGGTATTGTTTAAATCCGTCCAAGAATCTCCTGGCAAAGCTGTGGACGCTGACACGCATCGATGCATTGGATACACTGAATAGCATTCCGACGTTCGTATATTGTCACATGCTAGAAAACATTCGCGGGTGACTAACCGATTGATTTGTAGTTGTTTGAGGCAGAAATACTCTAAAGTTGACCATCTGCCTAAATATCTAAAGGTTTACATTATTTGATTGTAACAACAATGTTGAAAATCACTGTAATTTGCAGATTTTTGTTTAGGTTTTACGTAGCTCAATTTTTGATGGCCGAAGATGTTTATTAGCTCGGAGTGTCAGAGTGCAACCAATTATTGCCGTCATTATTCATTCTCTGAACTACTCTCAAAATCCTCTAATATGTGTTTTCTCTTCTTTTCTGCTTTGTCTTGGTTAACTCAACATGTTTTTTTGTGGGATCTATAGCAATAACCATGTGTCTGACTTTCTAATAACTGATAATATTTCACAAGCCATTCTGAGATCTCGATTCGTAGGTGAATATTCCGCTTATCTCTCGTTAATTTGTATGTAGTTTGAACTTGCTAGAGTGCATAGGCTATTGCACTGTCCGTGTTTCGGACACTATCAACGCAATGTCCAAGGTCTTATGTCGACAATAATTATCAAAGTTTTACTATTCTCTTCCATTCAATTAGCTACTTTGTTCGTTTCCATGATACATGGTTCATTAAAGAAGAGATATTCTAGACAGGTATTGACCAAACTCGTGCAGAACGCCGAAGTTCATCACATGTGCTCCTCCCAATTCTTGTTTTTCCCAGCCTCATTCAAGAGATTGAATACAATATTGTCCTACATCAGCCTAAATGGATCTCATCGAAGTGTGAAACGAGCAGTCAGTCCAACTCATACCGTTCATTTAACCATTATTCATACGGAGGGAAGCTGTTTCATCAACGAGAGACATCCATCTGATGGAACGCGTAGCCACAGAGCATCTCGGTCCCTTTCGCACATTGTTATCACAACTGATTTGTTTGTTGCGAATAGTGTTCAGTCCTAGTTCTCAACTTCTGCCCCTTCGTCTGGTGCGTTCTCCGAACTGCACAAAGTCTGGGTGCGTAAAGACCATACAAACGGTAGGTCTGAACGATGAACCGACGCAAGGGAGCACTAAAGGTGACTCATGGGCGGGACAGATTAATGAAAATAATTAGACAAATAGATAATTATTTAGTTAGATAATGATCCAACCGAATAATTGTTAAGGGTAGGAAGTCATTGTATTGATTCCACTTACAAATCACACCTCAATGGATAAATACTTATTTACAGTTAATTTATCCCTGAGTAACAACTGCAAGCGCGCTAGAGTTATGCTAGATCTCATGCTCATAAATGGACAATTCTGACGATTAGATTAAGCTCATGAACGTTCCACGATCAAAAGTACACGGCTTTTTTAGTGTCCTAGTTGAATTTCTTCTGGTATTCGCTTTTTGCTAGCTACAGTGTCCATCACTATTCCTTCATTTTTTGTTAACGGAGCAATCTTACAATAGCAACTTCTAAAGGGTAGTCAGTATTCCTTTTAACTGACTTCAATATTCTGGCCATACATTCATCAACCAATTGCTACAGACTATCATGCGATTCAAATGCTGTTCACCAAACATCCCGATTAGGTGTCTTGGGTACAATTCCGTACAACTGATTTCCGCAGAGTGTACTGATTATATTCGACCATCGATTTACAAATGCCTTTATGTAATTTACCAATACTATAGGGTATCATGTACGGTGGTGGATATTTTCACTTTAAACCGTAATCTCCATGAATGTTTTTCTTTGAATTAAATGTTCCAAGAATCGCATAGATTTTCACCTTGAAGTCGACTTTGTTTGCTGTCTATTTTTGTTGGAATTATTTGAATAGCGGTCCCTGAATCGATGCCAATCATTACCCATTTGTCTGGCTCTGTGTTCCGACTTAGTGTCGCTGTAACAAGATTGTTACATCGTAGAGCTAATTAGTCACATTCTCTATTTTATCTATTCTGAGTCTAAGCGAACATCGGATTTTTCGACAAAGCGAAAATCCCTTTGTAATCTTGTCTATTTTCTGTCCGGTTAAACCACAACTTCTTGTCTGGTGCGACTTGCTCCTGTCAGAACAAATAAAACATTTTCCTAATAACTGTGACCTAACAGATCGCCCGTTATGGTGAGGGCAGACGAATTGGCGACAATTTTTAGGACGACATCTGTGAATCCGATTAGGTATTCATTTGCACCGTCAATTTTCAAAGTGGTAAAGGGTTCAAAAACCAGACCGCTTTCATGTAACTGGATCTCCCATCTTTCGTCATCCATAGATATTCCATACCACTTGGCAGAAGTAGCCCAAACACCGATGAATCTTTCGTTTACAGCATAATAGAATACCCATGAAGAGAACAGCGTCGATCAAAAAGAGATTCTCTAAATTATAATTATATTTTTAATCGCTAATTTTGCTGACTGTTCCAAAATATACATTTCAAAAGTCGCATCAATTTGTAGGAAATTCGCGGTTTCTTTAGGAATCGAGTCTGATTTGTTGTCCAGCCTAACCGTAGTTGGCTCAACAGCCCTAGAAATCACTTCAAACTATCCACGATTGGAGTGAGCGCAACTTATTTAAATTGAAAAAATGAAAATAGACCAATATGTGATCAGTTTTAACGCAGTGCATGGACAGATTTTAGTTCGTTTGGGCCCCTAGCACTGCGGAAAACATTGAATTTGAGTTCGTTATTTCTAGCCTAACCAACGCCTCACATACCCAGAATTTATCCTGATTTAGTCCTTTTTATAGTAGATTGGCCTCGATGAATCATATTTCACTGTTGAGCTGTCTGTGCTAATGGTTCCTTTGCCGGAATCAATTTCCGGGTTAACCGGAATCCGAATGTATAAAATGCCTACTACTATCGCTTTGTGATTCACTGGCTACGGTGTGTTTCAGATGCACTACAACTCAATGATAAAGGAGTTTACGTACACAGTACGATTTTCCGAGAATCAGGTACACAACATTATCGAGCAGAGTTATTGTGCTGATTACCTTAGTTCTTTATTGATCCATATCGTTTTCAACTTGGGATCACTTCCTCCGCTAAGTACCACCTTAAGTTTATTAAATCAATATATAATTGACATGTCCCACAAAAAACACTTTTCTATATTGTTATATTGATCCCTCCATAGATTAGAAAGAAAAGAATTCTAATGGGTTGATGCATTCACCTGGTCCTAGCATACACTGGTTTTGGTTAACTAAACATTTCAGATAACTTTAGGTACATATGCTATATATGTATTCATTCATATATAAAAATGTCTATTTAAGTGTAGACAGTGTGACTCAAACGTGTTCTGTTAATATTTCATTCAACTGTTTGCTGACTGACATGCGTAACACCAATCACTCAGTACATTTCTTTCCCTTGCTAGAATCAAATTGCACCTTAGATACAACAAAAATATGAATCTCTCCAAAACTTTCTTAAAACAATGTCGTTTTGCGAGTTCAGACACCCAGGTGAATTTATTTCAGCGCCATTTTTACTACTCTCCCGGGAAACCTGCTGTCTGATAGGTGTGACTGAAACCCCTAGACATGAAACTGAAATGGAAAAACCAGATTATACTTGGTCCTGATTTGAATAATCGTGGCGGTGTGTTCCACCAAAGCGGGGTTCAAACATAAACCTGCACGTGGCCCGCTCTTAACTGAAGTTTAGTTCAGACGAAGACCTCCAATTTGCGATAAATACTAGATAAAAGCTTCCCAATAATCTGTTGCTTAAAATATCCTGAGTTCTTTTGGATAACATAAGACTTAGGTAAATACGGTTTATAGCGAACAGTCATCACTGGCTATCAAATTACTATTTCCTGGATTGAACCAATTCAACAGACACATATATGTTCCATATTGAAGGGGAATCCATCGCATCTGTGATTAGACTCACATCAATGTGGAGTAATTCAAATTATCGCCATGAGCCAGAAAATCCCATTCAAATAGGTAATTTATCTACCAGCTCATATCATACGAATATAAAATTGTGTGCGATCTATCAGTCTGATCTTTCCATTGAATGTATACTAGATCAACCTAATGAAGTTCGAAAGCCGCAGAATTGATATGTGATCACCGTTTCCCGAAGACGATTTACGGACAACATTAGGATAATATTTCGAAATAAATTGACGATTCTCGCATGCATAATCAATCCTCATAGTGGTGACAAATTTCAAACTTCATAACCCACTAGTTTTGGTGCAGTTTTTTGGCATTAGTTGGCGCATAGACAATTTGTCATTCGGATGTCTTGCACGGCTGCCAACCCTCACGAGTGCATTCCGTTCAGCATTACACATCCATTTCCCTCGTTTGTTCGCGAATCTATCAGTGCCGCTGTTTGCCTGTGTTTGACGCGCTGCATATTCGTCTGGTCGTACAATGCGCATATTTCTATTTGATTTTCCCGGGTCCCAAACCATTCACGTTTTTTGTGTCAAACTGACGGGGCTTGTGGAATGTGAACCGCAGTAGAGGGATGCGGGAACAGACATTCTTCAATGCCAATGCACGAGGGAAACGCGGTATAGTCAGTTTGACAGGTAAAACCCTCGTTTTGACAGTGCGAACTCTTTAAACAAAGATGATGACTGCATTCCAAACAAATACAGTGCAACTTATGCTGATTGCTTCAGACATTTATTCAATTCTCTATTCTTAATAAATGTTTCCACATAAATGCGTTCAAAACCAGTCGGTAACAGCTGCTCTTCTTGATTGTCGGTATTGTTGTTGAAATAGCGAAATATTCTCCACTCAAATAATTCAATTTGGCTGTAAACTCAGCGAAGAAACATATTTGTCGGAGAAAATAAATGTCCTAGATTCTCCAGGGTAGTTCAATATCCGTCTAATGCATCGAAAATAATACTTATTGAGAGAGATGAGTTCCACACTAGATGTGACCAAGGAAAAACAGTGAATCTTATTTTTGAACTGTGGTGGTGAACTGGTGCGTTACCACGCATCTGCGTTCCTATTGACGGAATTTTTTCAACGCTGGTAGATAACTGAGCACACATGAACAAACAGTCTTGGTACACTAACAGAACAAATATGGCATTGAACTTTTAAATAAATCTGTTCGTTTCAACTACACATATATGTACGATTTTATGATTCAAAGTACAGTATATAATCCCCATTTTTGCGCAAGTACAAATAAAGTCATCTTTAAAATTAAAGCTACAGTTTTATTATGAGAAACACTTACACTCGATTGCTTCTATAGTTCCATAGAGTTTAGCACAGATGAATCAATTCACGGTTCATAGAAATTAGCCGAATATCACAATTCATCCGTGTTTCGTGCTCTGCTACGGATATTGAAATTTAAGACTTTGCAAAGCTTCATCCAGTTTGTGCTTAAAGCAATCAAATGTCGGCGCAGAAACAACGTGAAGTGACAGAGAATTCCAAGTAGTACACATTCTGAGGGCAAATGAATGACGCCGACGTTCTAATTGGCATGTTTGGAGCATGAATTTGAATGAGTTCCACCTCAAGTGAATTTTGAATGACAAAGCTAAGAGTGAAAGACATGGCGATAGGTTAGTAACGTTTCAACACAGCTTCAATTATCAACATGCTAGTGCAACGTCAGGTGGAGTTCTATTCTATATCAAACCAACTTGAATGGATTTGTGATGTAGATGGTAAAGCCCATAAAGCCCATTTCGGTTTCATTTTATCACACCCGCATTTGTGTATTCAATTAGAAATTTTTCTCCAGGCATAATCACTTACATGTAAATCATAGTTCTCGGTAATTTGAATACTGTTGAATAGTTGAAATGACTCTGGTTCTCCACCGGATATTTTCTATTTATTCAAAAGTGTATATAATACCGTAGCCTTAATTAAGTATGTCGTTAGCTGAAATAGAAAACAGCATTTAATCGATTGCGTATTTCTCTCTCTAATTTTTGCCATCTATTCAAAAACGAAATCACTGTCTCACCTAACGCTGTCCTTCCACCCATCATTTTTCTTTTGTTCCATTCACGCGGACAGATGAGATTCCAAAAATAACCGATCGTTTACAAAGCGTAATTGATGCGGAAATGCGCCAAATAAATCGTAACAAGGAGTAAGTATTCCCCGGTCCATTTTTTTCAGTATTGCTATATAGTCTTTGTTACAATCCCTGAATGGTTGGGCGTCAACCACATTCACACGAAAGATTTTCGGTGCAACCAGGGTACACCTTTAAAAAATAAATCGATCGATATGGGGGTATAAGTGGGTACACCGGGTGTAAAGTATAAGCATATGTATGTCCGTAAATCGAGTGTATGGCATGCATTATTACAGTCATAAAACCTTAAATGTGTGAAGAGAACAAAATGTACGAATGAAATCGTAGTACGCATTGCAGATATGTTTTGACCGGATCTAGATCATACCNNGATCGTGTTCCCGAACTGGTTTATTTTTCGTCTCGGGCACGTAAGTGACAACGACAGACGGATGCATTTATTGATTTGTCATAAACTATCTTCCAATGAGCTTTTAAGATTTAAAGCGAAACTCATTTCTGCCTGGGTATCCACCCCAGTAAGTGCCATCCGTCGCAACTAATTAAGTAACACTTCGATTGGGGAACATTATTTTCTTCAATGCTATCAAGAGGACTAAACATTACCAATGACTGAATAATCCCAGGAATCCCAGGAATGGAACATTCCTGTTCTGACTGCCATCGAAAACGTTTATTCCCTTTCTATGATATAATACACTGATGGGTGATTCCGAATAATTGACATAGGATTATAATAAATGAGTCGCGTTTTCGTAGAAAATCTTACATAAGCAGTAGATTGCTCATCACTAAAATCGAAGCCACTGTTAAAAATCATTCATCATGAGTGTTTCAGATCGGTAATAAAATTGCTATATCAATGGATCACAATTGGATAATCAGCTTTTGACAATTCGCAACCAATTAGATTCTTTACCTGGCAGCACACTCACGAGAGAGTTCAGCAACTGGGCAAAAGTTAAACTGCAAACCGTTCTTTTCAAATGGCTATGATGTAAATCGTTTGACCAAAACCTCCAGGGAAAATCAGTTTCCTTCCAATCCGATTCCGGTGGCCATCACATCAATGGTCGTCGGACTGTCACGTTTCGGCTGGAGCCTCTCATTTTTGCATTCCTGGTTCTGACCTAGATTTGGCGCAATGAACCTCAAATACGTTTCAACATAAACACGTTTTTATTGATTTTAACTGACTATCCTTCAGACTTCACCTTCACGCATAGTCCTAAGTTCTTCGATTTAACCATACATTCGGAGGCACTAGACTCCAGTTTCGCTCTTATTAAAGCTCATCAGTAGTGCATATCTACTGATGATGTCACCTCGGCTAATAATGAAACATTTGCAAACCATTTGACAAGCTCGGCGAACAGGCGAAATAAATGCAGTTCAACCGAGCTACGAGAGACGATTCTCAACACTTTGTCAAAATCCTCAGCTGCGGCTAATGATGATTACTTGTTACTTGGATTTAAACACTTCTTCAGGAAAGCAAACA